AAAGATATTTGCAAATGTGATGAAAAACTAACAAATACACTTCAAAGGGTTCTTTTTGTGCAATTGGAGAGTTTATGCAAGGTTTTAGAGCTCTATACATCCTTTTAAACATTGCGCAATAAATACAGATGAAAACCATTAACCGATGACGATAACTGGTAGAGGAGATCGAGTGCAACATAATGATACCACTCAGGAGTCCACAGCGTTCTTTTAAAGAAAGATATTTGCAAATGTGATGAAAAACTAACAAATACGCCTCAAGTAGTTTTATTTGCGCAAATTGACAGTTTATGCGCGCTTTTAGAGCTCTATACATCCTTTTATACATTGCGCAATAAATACAGATGAAAACCATTAACCGATGACGATAACTGGTAGAGGAGATCGAGTGCAACATAATGATACCACTCAGGAGTCCACAGCGTTCTTTTAAAGAAAGATATTTGCAAATGTGATGAAAAACTAACAAATACGCTTTAAAGGGTTCTTTTTGTGCAATTGGAGAGTTTATTTGCAAGGTTTTAGAGCTCTATACACCCTTTTAAACATTGCGCAATAAATACAGATGAAAAACATAAACCGATGACGCTAACTAGTAGAGGAGATCGAGTGCAACATAATGATACCACTCAGGAGTCCACAGCGTTCTTTTAAAGAAAGATATTTGCAAATGTGATGAAAAACTAACAAATACGCTTCAAAGGGTTCTTTTTGTGCAATTGGAGAGTTTATGCAAGGTTTTAGAGCTCTATACATCCTTTTAAACATTGCGCAATAAATACAGATGAAAACCATTAACCGATGACGCTAACTGGTAGAGGAGATCGAGTGCAACATAATGATACCACTCAGGAGTCCACAGCGTTCTTTTAAAGAAAGATATTTGCAAATGTGATGAAAAACTAACAAATACGCCTCAAGTAGTTTTATTTGCGCAAATTGACAGTTTATGCGCGCTTTTAGAGCTCTATACATCCTTTTATACATTGCGCAATAAATACAGATGAAAACCATTAACCGATGACGATAACTGGTAGAGGAGATCGAGTGCAACATAATGATACCACTCAGGAGTCCACAGCGTTCTTTTAAAGAAAGATATTTGCAAATGTGATGAAAAACTAACAAATACGCTTCAAAGGGTTCTTTTTGTGCAATTGGAGAGTTTATTTGCAAGGTTTTAGAGCTCTATACACCCTTTTAAACATTGCGCAATAAATACAGATGAAAAACATAAACCGATGACGCTAACTGGTAGAGGAGATCGAGTACAACATAATGATACCACTCAGGAGTCCACAGCGTTCTTTTAAAGAAAGATATTTGCAAATGTGATGAAAAACTAACAAATACACTTCAAAGGGTTCTTTTTGTGCAATTGGAGAGTTTATGCAAGGTTTTAGAGCTCTATACATCCTTTTAAACATTGCGCAATAAATACAGATGAAAACCATTAACCGATGACGATAACTGGTAGAGGAGATCGAGTGCAACATAATGATACCACTCAGGAGTCCACAGCGTTCTTTTAAAGAAAGATATTTGCAAATGTGATGAAAAACTAACAAATACGCCTCAAGTAGTTTTATTTGCGCAAATTGACAGTTTATGCGCGCTTTTAGAGCTCTATACATCCTTTTATACATTGCGCAATAAATACAGATGAAAACCATTAACCGATGACGATAACTGGTAGAGGAGATCGAGTGCAACATAATGATACCACTCAGGAGTCCACAGCGTTCTTTTAAAGAAAGATATTTGGAAATGTGATGAAAAGCTAACAAATACGCTTCAAAGGGTTCTTTTTGTGCAATTGGAGAGTTTATTGCAAGGTTTTAGAGCTCTATACACCCTTTTAAACATTGCGCAATAAATACAGATGAAAAACATAAACCGATGACGCTAACTGGTAGAGGAGATCGGGTGCAACATAATGATACCACTCAGGAGTCCACAATTAACTGTAATAAACAGAATAATATTTTGAAAAACGAAACTCGATCAGAATGCCTTAAAAAGGGCTGCTCTACGGATGGCTTGAACGATTCAGATCGGGCCAAGAGTTGTCTTAGACTTTGGGGACTATCCTCCCAAGCATGAGGTAGAAATTTCAGGGTCAGATGACTACTCAATGTCCAGGAAACTGACGCCGCGTAGGGGCATTCCCTAATTATTAAATTTTACTAATCAGCATATTGAGTTTTTGAAAAATGTTACTCGATCGGAATGCCTTAGGAAGGGCTGCTCTACGGGTGGCTTGAACGATTCAGATCGGGCCAAATAACGTCTTAGACTTTGGGGACTATCCTCCCGAGCATAAGGTAGAAATTTCAGGGCCAGATGATCACTCAATGTCCAGGAAACTGACGCCGCGTAGGGGCATTCCCTAATTGTACTAATCAGAATAATTGAGTTTTTGAAAAAACGTTACTCGATCGGAATGTCCTTAGGAAGGGCGGTGCTAGGGATGGCTTCAACAATTCAGATCGGGCCAAAAATTGTCTTAGACTTTGGGGACTATCCTCTCTATCATTAAGTAGAAAATTCAGGGCCAGATGACGACTCACTGGTCAGGAAACTGACGCCGCGAAGGGGCATTCCTTAATTAACTGTAATAAACAGAATAATTGATATTGTGGCGTAAATGCCTATCAAATTATTTTTATCTTTCTCTTATGTTGTTGAATTTGACAACACGGTAGATTTTCGGTCCAGAAATGTGACCTACTTTCAAAGCAAAGGTCTTTGCCCTTTTAATTAATTAATAAGCGTATTTTTTTTTATATACGCGCGCGCAAGTTGAGTTTAGATACGCGCAATATCACTAATCAGCGCTAGCTACTGCAGCAGCAGAAACCATATATGGGATTAGTAGGAATTTACGTAAAAAACGTAAATAAAATGAATTATTAATATGCAATAATATAACAACTTACCTAGATGTTTGCAGTGCATGGAAGTTGGAATTGCAGATTTTGGTCGTAGTTTCTTGTAATATTTATATTGAAGAGTAGTATTTTCCTTTATCTGGAAAGTGATTCCTATGATGAAGCATTTGTATTAATCCTTACGGACGCACCGTGCGTGCGTAATAGTTTTGGTTAGGACCAAAGACGTTTAAATATAATTATATTATATAGGACATAATTATGAGAGTTTTTGTGCGTAAGCCCTTAAGTACAGGAATAAGCGGGAAATACAAAATTTTGTCGGCTGCCCAAAGTCTATAAATAGGGGTGCATTTTTGGGAAAAATTAAGTTGTTGGGGAAGACCTCCCCAAGTGAGCTGGAGAAAACCAGAACTAGCAACCATCTCTGGACGTTTTGTTTTCCTCTTCACTGGATCTGGCCATAAGCAGTGAGTATGGCGGTGTGACCAAAGTTCGCGCGTGACCAAAGTTCGCTTTCTCAAAAAATCGGTAAGATTTCGAAAATCTGATATCACCAATGGAAAGAGGGTCTTAAAATTACCCAGAAACGAAATTTTCTTTAGAATTGGTTGCGAAATTGTGAAAATATTGACAAAAGATCGGCAAATTTTGCAGTTATTTGCGTCCGTTCCGAAAAATTATCAACTTATCGATAAGGGTCTGGAAATCTTCATTTTGAGATCAGAAATCCTGAAAATTGTAAGTAAAGAGTGGTACGAACTGATTGTACGATATCTTGCCTTGCAAATTATGATATTACCTTATTTTTGATGGATCGCTTTTTTTGATAAATCAACTGTAAACCACCGTGCGTGAAGTTAGGTCTCATTGTTTTTATGACTTTTTTAGATGCAGCGCGCGCGCACGATCGGACATCGAATTTTTAGATCGCGATATCTCCGAAATCCTTCGACGGTAAATTTTTCTAGTTGAACCAATCTGTAGTCAAAAACTTTGCCGTCCATTTGGTAATAATTGAAATAAATAAAGTTGTGTAGAATGTGAGAAATCATAGATCGAATATCACATTTTGTAATATGTTCTAAAATGTCCGCGAACTTTGGTCACCCCTTCATACACATTTTAGCCTTAGGTTATTATTTAGAAGTTGAGTAGATTATTTGGGCATATCAAATTAGGTTTTGGCACCCGGTTAGTTGGAATTTTCTGGTATTAGTGCCTCGCCTTGTCAACCTCAGTTGATCCTGGCATAGGCGCAGTGTAGCTGCATACACATTCATGATGGTAGCATTCTGACGACAAGCTTGTTTTTTCCTACTTATTTTACATGCATAAGGATTTGAATTATAACAAGACTGAGGTTTTGTAATTATATAAACATACTCGGAATATTGATGGGTGTGTAAAGATATTGATATGTGATAGTTAATGTTTAAAACTCTCAGTGACATGTTCAAGTACATGTATAAATATAACAGTTGAGAATGGATATTGACTTTATTATAAACATGTGTTTTCTGAGGTTCGCTGAGTGGATCAGTTAATCTTATTATTTTTATACAAGATTTATTTATCTGAAATTGTCTTCTCAATGCAACCAACCTGGAAAGAAGCTGTTTTTGTTAGAGCTATTAAGTTCTTGTCTATAATTCTGAAAGTTTAGTTGGTCATGAATTGATTGACATTTTGGGATGGTTATTCAGATGGTACACCGTACATGTATGTTAACATCAGGTTATTTCCAAATTGGTTCCATTTATTAATGGAATACTGGATTTCAAACGATAGACATAATTAGGCAATGCAAGCGAATTCATTGTTTGATTAGTGAATTTTACTTTAGTATTTATTCTTTTCTTCCTTTTGTGCTATTTCATAGTCACAAAACCCTTGCCACCATGATTTGGGTTAGAATACTGCGATCTTTCGTTACGTAATACTGTCAAGCGTACAACTTCCAAAAAATTTAAATGATTATTTTAAATCGTAGCGTGTACATAAGTTAAATAGGAATTATTAATCTGACATGTAAATTGTAAATAGACATTTAACTATACCAATAGAAAAGTACAAAAATTACAAAGCCAATTGTAATAACTTCTTCAGTTGCATCTAGAAGCTGATAATTATTTGATGTTACAGTAATACAGATTATTTATCAGAGACATCAAAATGAGATAACTTAAGTTATTCACTTTAAGTAGTAATCAACTTGAGAGCTGTTTTATATTTAACTGTTGCTCAGACAGCAGAGAGAGGTTAGAGTTGGTCGACAAGTTCTAATGCTTAGAAAGATAACTGTGTAAATGTATTCTCGAACCCATAGTAGTTAGGGATTTCAAGGAATCTGAGACTAGTCTACTATATAGAATGTTGGTTATATTACAAGTTTGCACCGACAAAGTGAGTGGAACTTGGTAATGAGCTGTAAGGCTGCTGAATAAGGCCCGTTGAGAGGTTGTCAAGAATTGAATTTAGAGGAAGTTTCCCCACGGTTGGTAATTAGCAAGGACAAGTTATTGAGTAACTGCAGGCAGTTGAGATAGGATTATTCACATTAGTGCGATCGCCAGATAAGTTTCTTTGATCTTGGATCATTGTGGTTAGAAGCTTTCAGTATAAGATATAAATAACTTCTCGAAATTTTGATTACAACTCTACGGAGTATAAAGTACATGTAACTCAGAAGGTAGCATCTTAAAATTGTAACACTAAATTATAGGACTAAATTCTTATACTTAGCTAAATTAGACTAACATTTGTATGTAAATTGCCATGCTCACTTATACTCAATGAATTGATGGAGTTGAAATTTATGGTACCAGTATTTGCAACAACTTGGAATTGTTATGCATCTTGAACCTGTCAATATTTGGAGTTAGTGTTATTAAAGTTCATTGAACTTACTTCAATTCGTAGAATAATTTTATAACGTATACAATGCACACCTGTGAGAAAGAATGGAATGATTAGTGTTTAGCGATTGATTGTTCAATGAAGATTGATTGATTGATGTTGATGCAAATTAGTTTAGTCAAGACTTAAGTTAGAATTACAGTTTAAGATTAGAAGTCTTAGTTTAGATAATTAGAAGTTGAAGCTAATTAACTTAGATGAGAAGGCCAATCTTGTATATTTCAAGAAAACGGAACTCGCCATTAAGCTCCATTACTACGTCTACCTAGTGAGACCCAGTAAGAAAGGATTAAGTTTGAGAGTTAGAATAATTGATTGTTTATTGTTACCGAAGCATTATTGACTTCGGTCCAGAGCTCAATAACTCTATAAAATTATTGTGGTGGCAGCAAACTACTTTAAGGGGGGTCTCACGTTACATTTTTGGTGGCAGCGGTGGGATTTGGCAAAATTTTGGGAGTAAAATTCTTCTTATCTATTCTTCAGTTAGTATTTCTTATATGTAGTAACTTATTCTTAGGTTGATCTATCTAAATATTTACATTAGTAGAAAGGTACATGTATATCAAGTTGTTGAAAAATTTTGTGCGTACTATGTGTAATGGTTTTTCACAAGTGTGCATTGAACTTTGTCTACAAGACACTTAGATTGAGTATAAGAATGAGCATTTACAGTAAGATGTCTACGGACGCAGTAATATTAAGCATGTACTTGTACATGTAGTACATGGTACAGTGGATATGGAGATCTACTCCATTTACAATGTAAGGGGGCGTACGCTTGACATGTAAAACAATTTTTTTTTAAATGAGTTAAAGATATAATACTCATTTAAAATTCGAAGAGATAATTAAAATAGGATACAAAATTTAATTATCAAACTAGAAAATGGTGGAACCAACTTCTATTGGGTTACAATCTGAAGACATGGCCGCTGGAGACCGACATGCAGTTCGTAACAAAGGGAGTGTTGCTGGATGGGCAGTAGACAGTACTGATCCAGAGATAGCAGTCCGCGCCGACGAGTTTGGAGACGTGATTTCGCCTGTGCAACGAGTCGTGTACGGTCCTCAAGAGATGAATCAGTTACCAAACTATATTCCAAGTGAGCAGACTACGGAGATGATGAATCTACATCGTCCTCAGACTGGAGGTCATCATAGAGACGTTTTGCCTGAGAAATTTGCGGGAAAAATTCCATGGAAGGACTATTACAGGCACTTCATAGTCTGCATGAAGCCGAATGGATGGAACGATAACGAGGCAGGACAGTACTTGGCATCGCGACTTCAAGGGGCAGCACTCAAGGTGTTGAACAATCTACCTATTGACCGACCTATCTCATTCCGTGCACTGGTAGTTCAACTGGAGCGAAGATTTGGACCGGGGCAGGAGGCGGAAAACTTCATGTTGGAGCTCAGAACACGACCCAGACAGAAGGATGAATCTCTCCAACAGTTGGGCCAGGCGATTAGGGATCTCACTGGTCTTGCGTATCCAGAAATGATGAGTGATGTGCGGGAGCGACTGGCAAAGACTCATTTCTCGGAGGCTATTGATGACTCTGAGATAAGGGCAGCAATCTTCCGTGCTCACCCTAAGACTTTGGATGAGGCGATTACAGCAGCACTAACCACAGAGTCCTTTCTTCATGCCGAGAAAGCTAGAGAGAAGATAAGAGTCCCACGGCATGTGCGAGCAGTGGAGGGTAGCATTCATTCATCACCTGCAGATGAGAGAGAGAAGAAAGAGGTAGAAGAGTTAAAGTCGAGTCTGCAAGAAATCAAGTCAATGATGAAAGAGATAAGTGTGAACAGAAACCCAAGTCAGCCAAAATATGTGTGCTTCAACTGTGGTAAACCAGGCCATATTAGTCGAGCTTGTACCAAACCCATAACATGGGAAACGACAGACGGCCTACTCGGAGGACCACGGGGCGGCCATATGAGCAGATGGGTCCAAGAAATTAGATGCCCGGCGAGAGAGAAGGTCTCTAATTTGTACAGTACGTGAAGTAAACCAAGCCATGTATATACCTACAATGATTGGAGGTCAGATGAGACATTTGCTGGTAGACACAGGATCTTCTATTACCATTGTATCTAGGACTATGTTAAATCATAATGAGCAGCATAAATTACCAGGCATTAAGGAGACAAATGTTGAATTACGACAAGCTAATGGAATGCCGATAGAAGTGTTTGGAGAGACATCTCTGATCATGAACTTTTCTGGGCAAGAGTACAATGTGTCTGTGGTAATAGCCGACATAGATGTGGATGGAATCATCGGTATGGACTTCTTACAGAAAACCAATACCACTATTGATTGTGATCTGATGACCGTTACAGTACGAGGAAGGGTTATTCCATGCACAAATCAGATGGGTGATAAATTAGTAATGGTGGTCAACAACAAGCCTGAAGTACCAGAACACTTGACTGATATCTATAGGAGAACATGTCTAAGCATCGAGGAGGAATACCACTCTGATGTCGTCATGCTATTAACATCCTACAGTGATGTGTTTTCTCAAGGAGACCACGACATCGGTCGAACAGATAAGGTCAAGCACAGCATTCATACAACCTGTTTAGCACCAATACGGCAGAGACCAAGGCGTCATCCAATGGGCCAGAGGGAAGAAGTAGAGAAACAGATAGAAGACATGCTTAAACGAGGGATCATCAAACCTTCCGCCAGCTCATGGTCTTCCCCAATTGTACTGGTAGACAAGAAAGATGGATCGAAACGATTCTGTGTAGATTACAGACTTCTAAACAAACATACAGTGAAGGATTCCTTTCCTCTTCCCAGCATCGCAGTATCACTAGATTCACTTGATGGAGCAAAGTATTTCTGCACGTTGGACTTAGTATCTGGGTATTGGCAAGTTCCCCTCGATGACGACGCCAAAGCCAAATCTGCTTTCGTAGTACCAGGAGGCTTGTATGAATTTCAAGTCATGCCATTTGGATTGTGTAATGCCCCATCTACTTTCGAGAGACTAATGGAAAATATCTTAGTGGGACTGCAGTGGAAGATACTCCTCGTCTATCTTGATGATGTCATAGTTTTCGGATCAACCATACCAGAGATGATTGCAAGGTTGGAAATGGTGCTGCGGCGACTACGAGATGCGAATCTAAAGCTCAAGCCTAAGAAATGCAATCTATTTCAAAAGGAAGTGCTGTATCTAGGGCATGTCGTATCAGCAGAAGGTGTTAAGACGGATCCCACCAAAGTTGAAGCTGTGAAGTCGTGGCCAACGCCATCCAACCCAACTGAGGTACGAAGTCTTCTTGGGCTAGCATCCTACTACAGAAGATTTGTGCAGAAGTTCTCTGATGTTGTCAAACCACTAACCAATCTAACTAAGAAGGATCAGCCTTTTATCTGGACAGGAGAATGTGAAGAAGCATTCTCAGCAATGAAAGAGTCATTGACAATAGCTCCGATATTAGCTTACCCTAGGTTAGAGGTGGGATTTATCCTCGACACTAATGCCAGCAATTTCGCACTTGGTGCGGTGCTTTCACAAGAGCAAGAGGGAAGAGAGAGAGTAATAGCATATGCCAGCAGGACCCTCAACAAAGCAGAGCAGAACTACTGTGTCACAAGGAGAGAACTTTTAGCTATTGTAGTCTTCCTTAAGCATTTCCGCCACTACTTGTATGGACAGCAAGTACGAGTCAGAACGGACCATGGTGCATTATGATGGTTATTACAATTTAAGAATCCCGAAGGACAATTAGCTAGATGGCTAGAAGTAATCTCGCAATACAGACTTACCTTGGAGCACCGTGCTGGAAGAATTCACTCAAATACAGATGGATTGTCATGTCGTCCCTGTGTTAATTGCCGACAGTGTGAGAAGGTGTAGAAGACTATGGAGATAAACAGTAGAATTTAAATCAGTTATGATTTATATGTACAGTAATTGTACACAGAACACTTAGTATGGGTGTCTTATCATTTTGTATTGTAGGGAACTATATGAGAGGTTGCAGTATTTATAAGAACGATGCAAGATGGAGTCTGGGCAACAAAATACAGGACAGATGTCTAAGGAGAATTTCCCAGCGATTTCTAATGAAGAGATAAGGAAGGCACGGTTACAAGATGGAGATATAAATCATGTCTTGAGGTGGAAGGAGAAACAGACAGAGCGACCCCCTTGGTCAGAAATATCTCACCTTTTTTCAGCCAGTAAAGCATATTGGGTAAACTGGACTTTACTACAAGTACAAAATGGAGTCTTGATGAGGAGATGGGAGTCTGACGATGGAAAGGAAACAACATGGAAGATTGTACTTCCAGCTTCTATGCGAAAGACGGTTTTGGAGGAATTACATGGTTCTCCGACAGCAGCTCATCTTGGTGTCAACAAGACATTGCATAAAGTACAGAGAAGATATTATTAGGTTGGACTTGCTGCTGATGTGCGATTATGGATAAAGCGATGTACTGTTTGTGCACGTGTGAAGAACCCCCTAAAGAAGAATAGAGCCCCCCTGATGAAATACACTGTTGGTGCACCGCTTGAGAGGGTAGCAATGGACATCCTGGGTCCACTACCTGAGACAGAGTGTGGAAACAAGTACGTGTTGGTAGTAGGAGACTATTTTACTAAATGGATCGAGTCTTACCCACTCCCAAACCAGGAAGCAGAGACGGTTGCTAGAGTATTGGTGGAGGAATTCATCTGTCGATATGGAATTCCAAAGGAGTTACATAGTGACCAGGGCAGAAACTTTGAATCAAAATTGATGGCAGAAATGTGCAAGATGCTTGGTATTAAGAAAACTAGAACCTGTCTATTACATCCTAGGGGAGATGGATTCATAGAGCGATTTAATCGTAGCTTACTGAGTATGGTGTCCTCACTGTTGGATCCAGATTCCGATCAGAAAGATTGGGATGAGAGAATACCATTTGCCATGCTCGCATACAGATCTGCAGTACAGGAGTCCACAGGAGAGAGTCCAACCATGATGATGTTAGGGCGTGAGATCACCTTGCCAGTGGATTTACTGTTACCCTCACCAACACCTGAAACAGAAGGAGAACAAATATATGTGAGTGATATGCGGGAAAATTTGCAGGTGGCACATGAGAATGCCAGAGAGAAGCTCGGAATAGCTGCAGACAGACAGGCCAGAGCATATGACAGGAATACGACTCACCGAACGTTTACAGTGGGAGACTGGGTGTGGCTGTATGATGCATCAAGGAAGAAGGGAGTTTGTCCTAAACTAACAGTGAAATGGAAGGGACCATTTATGGTAACAGCCAAGTTATCTGATGTAGTGTATCGTATTCAGGAGTCACCAAAGGGAAAACCAAAAGAACTACATGTCGATAGACTGAAGGCGTATACTGAAGAACCACTAGACAATTGGCTGAATCATTCAATCAGGCGTAACCCAAATAGAAGTAGATTACCACCATTGAGATATAGGGACTTATAATAGCACAAGAGTTTGCAGCATTAACATGTACTGTCATCTAACTCTAGGGATAACAAGATATATATTTCACATGCATTTCTACTCCCTCTTAAATCTATGAACTAAAGGACATGGTGGTGTGTGACAAATGTACAGCGGAGCTGCCTGGCTACTACCAGTATTTAGAACATTATAAAAAATACCATCAAAAAAAAAAAATACGCTTATTAATTAAGTAAAAGGGCAAAGACCACAGGATATGGTGGTGTGTGACAAATGTACAGTATTTAGAACATTATAAAAAAAACCATCAAAATATTTTGAAAAACAAAACTCGATCAGAATGCCTTAGGAATGGCTGCTCTACGGATGGCTTGAACAATTCAGATCGGGCAAAGAGTTGTGTTAGACTTTGGGGACTATCCTCCTGAGCATGAGGTAGAAATTTCAGGGCCAGATGACTACTCAATGGCCACGAAACTGACGCCGCGTAGGGGCAATCCCTAATTATTAATTTTACTAATCAGAACAATTGATCTTTTGAAAAAAAGTTACTCGATCGGAATGTCCTTAGGAAGGGCGGCGCTGTGGATGGCTTCAACAATTCAAATCGGGCCAAAAGTTGTCTTAGACTGTGGGGGCTATCCTCCTGAGCATGAGGTAGAAATTTCAGGGCAAGATGACTACTCCCTGGCCAAGGAAAATTGACACCGCGTAGGGGCATTCCCCAATTAATTGTACTAATCAGCATATTGATCTTTTGAAAAAACGAAACTCGATCGGAATGCCTTTTGAAGGGCGGTGCTAGGGATGGCTCGAACAATTCAGATCGGGCCAAAAATTGTCTTAGACTTTGGGGACAATCCTACCGAGCATAAGGTAGAAATTTCAGGCCAGATGACTACTCACTGGCCGAGGGGAATTGACATTGCGTAGGTGCATTCCCCAATTCATTGTACTCATCAGAATAATTGATATTTTGAAAAACGAAACTCGATCAGAATGCCTTAGGAAGGGCTGCTCTACGGATGACTTAAACAATTCAGATCGGGCCAAAAGTTGTCTTAGACTTTGGGGACTACCCTCCCGAGCATAAGGTAGAAATTTCAGGCCAGATGACTACTCACTGGCCAAGGAAAATTGACGCCGCGTAGGTGCATTCCCCAATTAATTGTACTAATCAGCATATTGAGTTTTTGAAAAAACGAAACTCGATCAGAATGCCTTAGGAAGGGCTGCTCTACGGATGGCTTGAACAATTCAGATCGGGCCGAAAGTTGTCTTAGACTTTGGGGACTATCCTCCTGAGCATAAGGTAGAAATTTCAGGGCCAGATGACTACTCAATGGCCAGGACACTGACGTCGCGTAGGGGCATTGCCTAATTATTAATTGTACTAATATTAAATATATAATATCAGCTGGTGGTAAAAGGGTGTACATGCACCAACATCACACAGCTCTCTGCACTCTTTTCAAACATGACAACCCCACCCCCCATACACACAAAAGTAATCATATATCAGCTGGTGGTAAAAGGGTGTCCTGAACCCACATCACACAGCTCTTAACACTCTTTTCAAATATGACAACCCCCCCCCCTACACACAGTGGTAATCATATATCAGCTGGTAGTAAAAGGGTGTGGTGAACCTACATAATACAGCTCTATGCACTCATCTCAAGTGTGAGAATCCTCCCCCCTCCCCACCTACACAGAGGAGTAATCATGTATCAGCTGGTGGTAAAAGGGTGTACATGCACCCACTTCACGCAGCCTTCTGCGTTCTTCTCAAATATGACACCCCCCCCTACACACAGGGGTAAACATATATCAGCTGGTAGTAAAAGGGTGTGGTGAACCCACATAACACAGCTCTATGCACTCATCTCAAATAAGACAATCCTCCCCCCCCTACACACAGGAGTAATCACGTATCAGCTGGTGGTAAAAGGGTGTTTTTCCACCCACATTACACAGCTCTCTGCACTCTTTTTAAACATGACGACCCCCCCCCCCTACACACAAAAGTAATCATATATCAGCTGGTGGTAAAAGGGTGTTCATGCACCCACATCACACAGCCTTCTGCGTTCTTCTCAAATATGACACCCCCCCTAAACACAGGGGTAAACATATATCAGCTGGTGGTAAAAGGGTGTCGTGAACCCACATCACACAGCTCTCTGTACTCTTCTCAAACATGACAATCCTCCCCCCCTCCTACAAACAGGAGAAATCATGTATCAGCTGGTGGTAAAAGGGTGTTCGTCCACCCAGATCACACAGCTCTCTGCACTCTTCTCAAACATGACAATCCTCCCCCCCCCTACACACAGGAGTAATCATATTTCAGCTGGTGGTAAAAGGGTGTAATCAACCCACATCACACAGCTCTCTGTTCTCTTCTCAAATATGACAACCCTCCCACCGTACACACAGGTGTAATCTTATATCAGCTGTTGGTAGAAGGGTGTGGCGAACCCACATCACACAGCCTTCTGCACTCATCTCAAATATGACAACCCTCCCCTCCCCCCTACACACAGGAATAATCTTATATCAGCTCGTGGTAAAAGGGTGTGGTGAACCCACATCACACAGCTCTATGCACTCATCTCAAATGTGACAACCCTCCCACCGTACACACAGGTGTAATCTTATATCAGCTATTGGTAAAAGGGTGTTTGTCCACCCACATCAAACAGCTTTCTGTACTCTTCTCAAACATGACAATCCTCCCCCCACCTCCTACACACAAGAGTAATCATGTATCAGCTGGTAGGAAAAGGGTGTCGTGAACCCACATCACGCAGCCTTCTGCACTCTTCTCATAAATGACACCCCCCCTACACACAGGTGTAAACATATATGAGCTGGTGGTAAAAGGGTGTAACGAACCCACATCACACAGCATTCTGCACTCATCTCAAATATGACAATCCTCCCCCCTCCCTTCCTACACACAGGAGTAATCATGTATCAGTTGGTAGTAAAAGGGTGTTGGAACAGACATCACAAAGCTCTGCACTCATCTCAAATATGACAATCCACCCCCCCTTACACACAAATGTAATATTTCAGCTGGTGGTAAAAGGGTGTAATGAACCCACATCACACAGCTCTATGCACTCATCTCAAATGTGACAACCCTCCCCCCCCCTCCTACACACAAGAGTAATCATGTATAAGCTGGTGGTAAAAGGGTGACGTGAACCCACATCACAGAGCTCTGTACTCTTCTCAAACATGACAATCCTCCCCCCTCCCTCATACACACAGGAGTAATCCTATTTCAGCTGGTGGTAAAAGGGTGTTCGTCCACCCAGATCACACAGCTCTCTGCACTCTTTTCAAACATGACAATCCTCCCCCCCCCCTATACACGGGAGTAATCATGTAACAGCTGGTGGTAAAAGGGTGACGTGAACCCACATCACAGAGCTCTGTACTCTTCTCAAACATGACAATCCTCCCCCCTCCCTCATACACACAGGAGTAATCCTATTTCAGCTGGTGGTAAAAGGGTGTTCGTCCACCCAGATCACAAAGCTCTCTGCACTCTTTTCAAACATGACAATCCTCCCCCCCCCTATACACAGGAGTAATCATGTATCAGCTGGTGGTAAAAGGGTGTCTTGAACCCACATCACACAGGTTTGCACTCTTCTCAAACATGACAATCCCCCCCCCCCTTACACAAAAATGTAATCATATTTCAGCTGGTGGTAAAAGGGTGTAATGAACCCATATCACACAGCTCTGTACTTTTTTCAAACATGACAACCCCCCCCCCCCCTACACACAAAAGTCATCATATATCAGCTGGTGGTAAAAGGGTGTCGTGAACCCACATCACACAGCTCTCTGTTCTCTTCTCAAATATGACAACCCTCCCACCGTACACACAGGTGTAATCTTATATCAGCTGTTGGTAAAAGGGTATGGCGAACCCACATCACACAGCCTTCTGCACTCATCTCAAATATGACAACTCTCCCACCGTACACACAGGTGTAATCTTATATCAGCTGGTGGTAAAAGGGTGTACATGCACCCACATCACACAGCACTCTGTACTCTTCTCAAACATGACAATCCTCCCCCCCTAAACACAGGAGTAATCATGTATCGGCTGGTGGTAAAAGTGTGTACATGCACCCACATCACACAGCTCTCTGTACTCTTCTCAAACATGACAATCCTCCCCCCCCCCTCCTACACACAAGAGTAATCATGTATCAGCTGGTAGTAAAAGGGTGTCGTGAACAGACATCACAATGCTCTGCACTCATCTCAAATATGACAATCCTCCCCCCCCTACACACAGGGTAAACATATATCAGCTGGTGGTAAAAGGGTGTGGTGAACCCACATAATACAGGTCTATGCACTCATCTCAAATGTGACAACCCTCCCACTGTACACACAGGTGTAAACATATATCAGCTGGTGGTAAAAGGTGTGGTGAACCCACATAACACAGCTCTATGCACTCATCTCAAATATGACAACCCTCCCCTCCCCCCTACACACAGGAATAATCTTATATCAGCTCGTGGTAAAAGGTGTGGTGAACCCACTTTACACAGCTCTATGCACTCATCTCAAATATGACAACCCTCCCACCGTACACACAGGTGTAATCTTATATCAGCTATTGGTAAAAGGGTGTTTGTCCACCCACATCAAACAGCTTTCTGTACTCTTCTCAAACATGACAATCCTCCCCCCACCTCCTACACACAAGAGTAATCATGTATCAGCTGTGGTAAAAGGGTGTCGTGAACCCACATCACGCAGCCTTCTGCACTCTTCTCATAAATGTCACCCCCCCCCCTACACACAGGTGTAAACATATATGAGCTGGTGGTAAAAGGGTGTAACGAACCA